CTGAGTCTTAAACAACTTCAACAATTTTTTGGGTGGTAAGATGCCTGCTCTTTCATAATCAAGATGCAAATTCTCTTTTTGTCGTATTCCATCAAAATATATTGGTTTTCAAATCTCCGAGAAAGCTACTACCCTGAGTCCATTTGGAAATGTTCCAGACAAGTGCCAATGAAAATTCTTTTTTTAACATAATTCTAAAGCCACGATGAATCATCCTGCCAAGTTTCATCAATCTGCGTTATGTTTAACACTTTTGTCTGCTTTAGGCATACTCCTTTACACAATATATTTATATATTTATAATATTTATATATTTACTCTCTCTCTTTGACTGATACTTATTGTTAGTAGGGTTGCACGAGATATCAAGACTAGTCTTGATATTGTGTTGTCCTGTCTTGAAATTCGAGACAAAATCAAGACAAGATTTTGAATTAATTATCAAGACAATACCAAGACTAGGATTGTCAAAATTATTGGTCTTGTCAAGATTATTTGTTTTTAAAACAAGCTGAAATATGTATATTTGTACGTGTAAATTCAAAAAGAAAAAGATTACTATATTAAACAAACTTAAAAAATTGTATTTAATAAATAAAAATATTTATATTAAAAAATTTAGAAATAATTACTTAATACAATAGGTTAAATAAACAATATAAAATTTTTCACAATTGTTAATGGTTGTGGAATGACATAAATAGTAATAATTATCTTAAATTATTATATATTATAAAGATAATATATTATATTGTTAAATATATTATTTTAAACAATTATTCAGTATTAGATAAAAATTGATGATAAAATCGAGACAGGACGAGATTTTTGCTATCGAGATTCATTCAAGCCCAAGACATGATTTAAGTTTCTGAAAATTTCCAATACCAATACAAAACAATATTTTTACGAATATTGTCTTATCTTGTGCAACCCCCCTTATGCGTTCGAACGAGGGAAATATTACTCGAACGTTCCTCGGCGCGGAATTTGCAGGCTGTCATTTACTTGCATCCGAGTGGTAGATCGCCGTGCCACTTTTTCCTTCTTCGACGAATCGCTTTGCCATTGCGGCATCCAATCGTGCAAGGGTGGGGGATAGCGTTGGAATTTGCAGTTACATACTTTACGCCCTAAACAGTCGCTCGCGGTCCTCTTCAACTTCGTCGATCGGTCCCTTCTTCCCTTCCGCTCGTGGAAAAAGTTGCCCGCGATGAAACCAAACTATTCGCGAAGCCAAGTACGCGGCCGGTAATTAGCGTGGCGCGGCTAATTAAGCGGAGAGAAACTTAATCAATGTCTTAGTTCCTTCGCCCCGCGGACTTGGTTATTACGCGCATTAATTCCGTGCCCAGCGGCAAAGCAGACGTCGGTAAATGGAGAAGAGTCAGCGGTAATTTTTCATCGCTCTCCTCTAGGCGAATATTAATCGCGACAGAGATGGAACGTCTGCAAAATCACTCGCTGCACGAAATGCAGTGGAATTTATTATCCGTTGTTTTCTAATTTAGTTTATCTTTATGCGGAATTTTATTAACTGCTGATTCCTTGACGCTAATTGAACGACGGTAATTAAAACATAAATTAAATTCCGTTGAATTCTCTTGTGTAAAACGAGGATAATACAATGTTATCTTTGCGGTTCGTTGACGATTCGATTTCGATCATCCGCAGAAACGTGTATAATTGCATGTCGATCTCCGAAATTACGTCCAAAATTAATCCTTTCAGACAAAAAGAAAGACTAGAAATCGTGATGAGTAGGTGATTCGATTCCCAACGAATAAGGGTATGAACCCTCGGAAAGAATCGACAAGACAGTTCCTCGCGAACGTGATCCGATTCTTTACTCGGATGTTTTCGATTATGAAGCGAAGAAATTGCAATGAATATTCTTCTCTCGTCTCACATTGTGTCCCCTCTCTTTAAATATTAAAGTCTTATAATCCGATATAATGCATATCAATCGGTTTAAATTTAGGACTAGGAATAATAATTCATTCAAATTCAGGATTGAAAAAATTAAAATAACCGGAATCTTATTTTTTTTGTTTAAAAATTTAGACTTAAATAATTTGGATTATTAACATATATATTTGAAGATAATTCCTAATTTTAATTATAGTAAAATGTTTATTTGACAGAATACACGCAATGCTAAAATATAAAAATTAGAAAAATAGATTTTTCACGGTTTCGATTTGATATTTATTAGAAAGTATGCGGTTCGAAGAGAATGCAGTAGTTTTACGACACTCGATGTAAGACTCGGCTCACACTTCCGGCCGTCAAAGTCGATGGCTTTAACTCGAAACCAAATTTACTCTTCCGGCGTGTATTCCGAGTTGATCGCCGGCCCAGCTCGTCTCGCGAGCGACGATGCGGAAATATACTGTCGATAAGATTGGGGTCATTCATCCGTTCCCGTCGTTATCCGGCGTCGTAAATCTACACGGTAGAATTCTGGGTTTCCGCAAAAGTATTTCTCGCCTCGACTTCTTGGCGCGGATCAACCGGTTCGCCGTTTCCGGGACGATCTTTTTGACATCACATTCGCATATCATTCTCTCTCTCTCTTTTTTATCATCTTCAATCCCATCGAGTCTTCTCCGAAGTGCTCTCCTCGACGTTCGTCGTTCGTTTCATCCCTCCAATTTTATTTAAGCAATCAACCTATCCAGTCTTAGTCTAGCAAACCCTTATGTCGGTTTACATGAAGTCAGCAGAGAGATAAATCCGATGTTAAGAATACTTGTTTGCTTCTTGAAGCGAACGACTGGTTTGGATGTGTACTTTAGAACTTTAACGCCCTAGAACACCGAAAGCGACAATGATCCTTCAACTTCAAGTTTGACAGAATTAGGGACGATTGTGTCGATGGAGCAGAGATTCTCGGGGTTAGTCGAATGAGTTGGATGAGGAATTTTTTTTCAGACGGGTCAAGATGCCAAAAACTCGAGTGAAGTATAAAGTGCTCGCGATCTTGGAGATATCGGCTCTTCACAAGGGATGATCGAGCACGTCCCGAAATACAAGAGCTTTCTCTCGTTTGCCTCGTAACTTGCCTCCTACTTGACTTGTCGATAGCTACTGAACAAGTGAGTGCTCGCGTGCGGCAACTAGCCCGCGGCCATCTACAAACACGAGCTCGTGTATTTATGCGGACCGATATCTCTCCGGGATATACTCTCACTACGCCGACCGTAACAGTTGCACCGAAACAGATGACTTGTCCGTAAATCATAAAAAGTGCATTGCGCTATATTCTCTCTCTCTTTCTCAATGAGAGAAATCAGAAGTAGTTTTTATTCAAATAAATTTAATGTCCAAGCAATAATATCTTTATCAGTGAAGTTTGATAATAATTAATAATAATTATATTTTTTAATCACAGAAAAAAGTTGTAAATTTAAAATAAATTTAAAATAAATTTGTAAACTTAAAATAAATTTAAAATACCATCATAAAGTTTGTAGAGGTAGATTTTTTAATGTTCTGATTCTAGTAATTGTTGAGAAAGCTTGTAATGCAAAATGCAACGGTACTCTTATCGTGTTACGTGCTCGTTACGACGGTTAGTGTTTATCATTCCGCAGCAAGCACGGTATTACACGGATAACACGGACACTCGATTTGCTTCTCTGCTGACTTTGCGTAGACTACGAGCCGCCATTAGTTTAGCAGTAGCGTCGAGTTAGTTGTCGGCGTAGATGATTCACGCGCCTGCTTAGAAATGACAGAAGTAGAGAGCAGCGCGAGCAACGTCAGGACGAATCGAGATAAGGATAAGAAATGCAAGAAGAGAGATATCTCTTGAGCCATTTGCGCCGCAAAGAGAGAAAACGTCACCTGTCTGTTGTATTTCCGGGCTGGTTGCACCAACGTTGGTTGCCGCTTCATTAAATCTTGCCTCTCTCTGTTATTGTACAGCGATCATTCAATAACAAGCAGAAAATGGAATCACTTTTTTCCAAGACATATTTTATTACGATCAAATAAATATGTGATACAGTTGTAGTTTGTAATTTAAAAAGAGATTTCTTCTTAAGAGATAAGTGCGTGTCATTTTATTCAAGAGATTAGCGATATATTAATTATAATTGACAGAACTTTTTTCTTGATATTACAGTTACAGCTACGATTTGCAAAAACTAATCATAGTTATAATTAATCGAGACTTTTAAGATCGATTGCATACACGCCAATCATTAAGATGAATAATTTTTTTATCGTTTAAATTATATATAAAATCTAGAAAGGGACCATCAATCAGAATTAATTAAGATTCAATAGCACTGTAGACAAAAATGTTTGATTAAAGTTACACTGTAAAAAAATTGACTGAAACTTCAGACACAAAGTATCCGCAGCTTTTTCGCAGACACACTGAATCTTCAGACAGAATGCTGTCTGAATCTTCAGACACACTTCAATTTTCAGACAGAATGCTGTCCGAATCTTCAGACATACTTCAATTTTCAGACAAAATGCTGTCTGAATCTTCAGACATATTTGAATTTTCAGACAGAATGCTGTCTGAATTTTCAAGCACACTTCAATTTTCAGACAGAATGCTGTCTGAATTTTCAGACACACTTAAATTTTCAGACGAACTTTTCTAAACTTTTGGAAAAACGATTCTGATGATTAAGACAAATCGTCTGAAATTGTTTTCAGACAAATCTAAAAATTTAAACAAAAATATATCTGAATTTTAAAAAAATTTTTTACAGTGTACTGCCAGTAGAGAAGTAAAAGCTTTCGTATCTGGATAGTTAATCACGCGTTGATTGTTGATTGGTGCAACCGATTATCCCGTATCCGTCCACGTGTCTGTCTCTTTATGCTGTCTTGCACTTGTGATGTCTGTCTCGTCATCCACGTGCACCGCGACCGCCGCAGGCGACAGGGAATAAAAAGACAGAGAGGAGGAGGTGTATTATTATTATTATAATTATTAATATTAACCACGTGTTATCTCGATATATAATCGCGTCCAGTTCCCGTGGTGGTGGTGCAAGTCGTCCTCGTCGACGATGACGACGACGGCGGTGGCGGCGGCAGCGGTGCCCTCCTCCTCCACGGCCGCGGCGTCCGGCACAGCCGCTTCCGGTTCTCAGGGCGGCCAAGGGGTCGTACTATGTCCACGTACATTGTCGCAGGTGCGACGATCACGACTACGCCGGGCCTTCACCGAGGCGACTTCCGAGACCGTCAACTACGTCAAGACGGTGGGAGATGACGATTTTTCGCTAGCAAACCCTGTATTGTATATACGCGTATACCGGGTGTTCCAGATCACTTCTGCGCTTTACTTCTCAATCTTTGACGTTATAAGAACCTCGCGAATAAAAAATATCTCTTCTCGAAATTTATTCTTGTAATTTGTAGTTGTATTTAATACGCGGTTGAGAGGAGAAAGCGCGCGACTTCTGGGATGCCCTGTATGCGAATATGCCTTGTGTAACGTATATGCACATGCACATATAACGCGATCGGCGACGATATTGGCGGGACGTTCGATGGGAATACTTGACGAGCGTATAAAAACAATGACGTTCTAGTAGAGACGGTCATGCCCATGCTTCTTTCTTTTTTATAGCATCTAAACGCTATAATTGCATTTACGCGCGCGTAAAACGTGGTAGAAACTGCCACAGTAACGGCGCAATTTGCAGCATATAAAAACAATTGATAAAAATACGAATAGCATGAAGAAAATTTACAAAAGACACTTGTTTTGTAATTTTTCATATATATATATATATGTATTTGTCAGTGATCGAGCATGTGTTAGTCTGTTAAATATATGCATTCATTTTTTCGCGACATTTCTTTTCAGTTTGCATATTTTCGAGATTTGAAAAATGTTAACGAGGCTTTTCAAGCAAATAATCCCATCACTACAAACATTGGAATTATTCAAACAGGAAGAATGTACTTACAATTAATTTCATAAGTTCTCGTAGAGATAAGTGGTATTTTTTAATCCGATCTTCAACTGAGAAAGAGCGCAAAGAAAATATCGATTATTAAATATTTAAATACTAATTGAAAATTAAATAGTAATTCGTAAAAACATATGCAGATGTATAAAGAAAAAGAGATACAAAAGTCATAAAGAACAAAAGCACAACTCGCAGTATAATAAAATCCCACGAGTTCTCGCGAGCACAGTTCGCGTTAAGGAAAGTGCATCTGGCAAATATTGATCGTAACAATCTGCGCTTAACCACCGCTGCATTCCGCGTCGAGCGAGAAGTGCGTTCTCGTAGTAAACGGCAAAATACGACGCCCGAGAAATAATAAAATCCTTCCCACGAGCGATGCCGAGTGTAACGCGTGTATACGGGTCGGACGCGGAAATTTCGTCCCTCCGACTGTTTTGCAACGCGGTGAACGCCAAGAATGCGGAGCTGTCGGAAAAGATTGCTCGACCAAGCGTTGCGAGAGACTTTTATTCCGCTTGCGCGCGACGCATACGATTTAAAAGGAAAATCCCATCGTTCCTTTTTTCCCTTTTACGGGCGTCGACGAGATTTCTCCCAGGATGTTATTTTAAAAATTTTGCGGTTTCCGAGAAGTAAGATTGAACAAAAGAATTTAACGCGTATTTCTGAAAATTTTGTGAAGTTAGATATAATTATCGCGATTAAAAAATTTAATTGGTATATTGTATTTTTATATACGAATATGAATAAATTATTCTAGACTGAAAAAAAATTTTTGTACAAACGATTTTGATGAAGCGTAGGCCTCTTGATTAACCTTTCCGATTCACTTTTGATTAAATTTTTTTATTAATAATCTGATAATTATTATATATTATTTGTCGTGCATACACATATGAGAATATCGAAATAAAATCTCTTCGTTAAAAATTTTGTTTGGATAAAATAACGAAGTATTGTAAAAAATGATGACAGTATCGAGCTTGGAATTGATCCAACAATGTTAAGTTTTTGGATACTGGCGCTCACATCAATTGTTGTAACTCTTTGATTTTTATCCGCGGGATTATAAAAGAGCCTTTCTCTATCCTCGATATCTCCGACCTCGTGTAGCCACCGTAAATAATTCAATACTCGCTTTTCGCGCGCGAGTGAGTAACATTTCGCACAATCGTTTCCGTTATTTCGGCAAAAATATATACAGATTGGAAGATTTATTACGACACATTTTAAGCCCTTGGTGCGTAAATTTTGGTACAATTTTTCCGGTATATAAATTTCCACACACGTGACGTAATCCTTTTTTGATTTCCTTTTTCTGGTTAAGGTGTATACTTGATTCACATAATTATTACTTCTGGATTAACACTCTCGATCACTAACTTTTGCATAAGAACTGAGAGAAGAAATAAGAACAAGAGGAAATAAAAGTTTTATAGATCTCTTTTGTTGTAAGAATGCCAGATGAGTAAGATGATAAGAATTACAAGTATATAAATCTATTTTCCAATTTTATCATGTTCTCCGATTGCTGACGTAAACAAGTGTCTTGTCGCAAATAGACGCAGCAAGCATGAGTAAACTTGCAGAGTTTCGTGTTTCGCAAACATTTCAGTGAACTTTCGAAGAAACGCGGTCGTTGAATGAAAATGGCGTGTGTTTCCGTTTTAGACATGGAACGCACGATTTCCTTCGAAAGTTCCGCGGACATCTGCGATTCTCGATTTTCCCCGAACGAACTCCCATTTATACGTCGCGCGTTTCACTGTATGTACATGCAAAATACGCTCTCACCCACGTAGTTAATATATCAGCAACTTGTACAGGATGGTCCAGAAGTACCCACAAACCTTTTTGGTGTCTGTATCAGAATTTCAAAAATGAAAATAATTTAATGTTATATATGTGAATTTTTAATGTTTTCCGTTATCAGGATCTTTATGTTTAAGAATCTCGAAATCTAAGGATCCAAAAATTTGTAGCTTTTAATTTGAAGATTTGTTAGAAAATTCTTAAATATTACAATTTTCTTAGATATCTTGATTCTTGATTTTCTTTCAAAGCACTTTTTCTTAGTATCTGACCGCACCGTGTTATCTCTGGGATTTGAAAGTCCCCAGAATACTAATCTAGATTCGTCGATTATGAAGTATTTGTATTATCCTATACTGTAAAAAAAATTGACTGTGTGCGTGAAACTTCAGACAACTTCAGCCTGCAGCTTTTTTGCAGACGCACTGTCTGAATTTTCAGATATACTCTTTTAAACTAAAAAGATTAAGAAATATTGTCTGAAATTTCTTTCAGACACCCAGATCTGAAAATTCAAACAGAAAAATGTGTTTGAATTTTTAGAAAATTTTTTACATTGTACGCTGTTCGGCCATCGAAACTTGCATTTTCGATTTTTCTTTTCTATCCCTCGAACTACCGTCAAAAACTTTCCGAGTTCTAATATCCACAGATTTCGGGACTCTTAAGTTTTCAGCATCCTCGTGCGAATATCTTGCATTTAGCCACCTGATGTTTCATCTGAGCGTTCTGGGTAAGATGGTACTTCCGTGTCACCCTGTACAGCATGCTTCCCCTCCGCACATCTCGCCGCTCGGTTTAACTACCGGGAGAAGTTAGTTTTGTTCCCCTTTCCTCCGCCAACCCTGACCTGCATTCTCAGGCGGCACCACCGTGGATGTATATCAAAGAAGAAGCCGAGCGGCTGATGCCCGGAATTCCGCCGGGCACGGCCGCTTCGTTCGCTCTTTATTCAGCCCTTTCGTCCGCTCGTAAAGCCACGATTGGCGGCATATAAAGCCTTTTGTCAGCCGGACGACAAGTAAAGAGCACGAGAGACTGGACGACTTAATCCGGGCTCGATTACATAAAGAAAACCGAAAGCACGTTAGAAACTTATTGCACGCGACTGAAACCGCACCTGTGTTTCTTTAGCTCTTTATTTATGGATTTTGTTTTTCAATTATTCTGTGATATCAGACTCAAAGTAAAAAGAATTTCCAAGATTTTTGGAGTCTCCAATTTTTTTTATTTTTATCTCTGCGATAAATTATTAAAAAAAAAAAATGAGTTTATAAATTTGAACTGAAACATTTTCGCTAATTTGGATTAATTTTCACGGCTATATCGAAGTACAATTTTATTACGGTATTCATTAAAACTAATATAATTCCAAATATTTTCTTACTCGATTCTTGTTATTTTTTAACTATTGAAACTCGAGGAAACTCCTCAGTTTTCAACGATCCTCGGATTCTCTTCGATCTCAGGATGCTATCCCTGCAATCAATGAAAGCGGAAACGACAAATAAACGATAATTTGCAAAGAGCGTTAAGAAAATAAAAATTCCAGCCGCGTCGTTTAATGGCCGTAAGAATCGAGATTGTAAGAAAAAGAGCTGACAGATTAGAAAAAAGGCCGATCGATCTTGGACGATGATCGACGAGACTACGAGCATAAATATAGAACGAATCTGAAAAAGCCGGTAGCGTCCCACGTTTAAGAGAGAGTGCAGGTGAGTGTTGATAGCGACCCAACTTTAAGTACAGAGTACAACGTATCTCTCCTATATGGTCGTTGAATCTTTCCTTAAGTCTCCCCTGTCGTTAAAGCAAGCACCCCGTAGTCGCACACAGTGCACAAGTTTAATACGAAATTTTACAGCACGACTCTGTCTTCTATAATTATATTGTATACATTTTGTACACAAACAGTATAAGGGAGAGAGAAAAGGTGTCAATGCGTCAGCAATGCACGCTGCGCGTTGCAGAAGAAAATCATAAAATAACGCCGGCAAATTGTTGACATTAACCTAACCTTTAAACGTTAGATTGAATAGGAGGAAGTATTGAAGTGAAATATTTTATAGAGAAATACTTCTTTTTTTACTTTTCCATTATTAAATTTTTATATTTGAATTGTACTGCGAATCGAACGAATTTATACAGTTTTTTCCCAAAGATTGTGTTATAATACGATAGATTTTACATGCAAAATAAGAGAGAAATATTTAAAATTTTTTTAAGTTAAAAAATTTACGCTTCCTTTAGTGGGTTTTTACGTTAGAATTGTAATTAACAGTTAAATATCAGGCTATTTTATAATATTAATTTTGAAATATCCGCTACAAAATGTTGCAGTTTTATCTAAATTTTATATATTACATTACAAGAAATTAAATTATGAATACTTTCTTAATTAATTCTTTAAAAAAACTACGCATTAATTTCTAGTTAATATTATATTAAAAGAATATCTATCATAATAAAGTAATTAAACTGCAAAACTATAAATTGTCGTTCTAGATTCTAGATCCATATCGTAAAAAATTTACGCCCGAATGATATAAAAAAGTCTTTTACAATATATCTCTCGTTCTTGTTTTATTAAAATACTCGTCAGATATTACGTGAAATATTACACGAGAAAGAGAGAAAGAGAGAGAGAGA